TCGTTCCTCGCGTCACGACGAGTGTGTAAACTCCCAAGGGGGAGGCCGATGGTAATTCCTATGGAAGATTGGCTGCATAGTGGTGACGCTATGTCGCCCGATACGCGACGCGAACTTGTTGGTAGCGGGTTGATGGTGTTAGTGCAGCGTGTAGAAGAGACGGTGCGAGGGGTGAAGGGTAGCTGGCACACGTTGGGGTGAGATCTCGAATAGGAGAGGGTAGCCTCTATCTCCCCTATTCCGCAAAAAGGGGGAGAAAGTCGAGGGTGGAGGAGCCAGAAATGAGAATGTCGGCTAAAGTGGTGGGAGAACGAAGGTCCGCGCGAGGGTTAGCGGAGCTGATAGTGGGGACAGCGAAGCGGAATGGGGATGGCCACGCATGCGCTACCGATCAGCATCGACCCGACGTCTAGGCAACACCTGGTAGCACCCCACGTGCCACGTTAGGGTGGCACCAGCCACCCCGCGCACGCGATATCTCGTATCGAATATCACGCTGGCCTTCCTGTCCCGTCTACTGACCCACGCCAACGTCTTTCGTCGCTCTTACGGCTCGAGTTTTCGTAAATGGGATTCAGACCAATCGAAACCGGTACATGGCACCTCCCCGTTAAACCGGTTTTGGGAACAAGAGGTTATCAACCTTCGGCGAATGGAAATTCGAAGTGGTCTTTCTTTCTTTTCTTATCGATTCCACAGGTCCGATCAATGGTCAAACACAATTGCGTATAGAAGGTTTGCGATAAGATTTTGTTTGCGGAGTACAATGGATTTCCTGAGATGGAGGACGATATGCGATTTCGCGAAATTTGGAAATTAGAGGAGCAGTATTAGGTATAGGTGGAGAGATTAAGCTCTGAGTTGTAAACCTTGACTTTAGACATTGTGTTAATTCGTTACATGTTACATAGTATCGTTCTTTCTTACGTAATACGATAAATAATAACAGTTACTTTCAATTGTACTATTTAAAAAATTATAGAAATACGATACGAATAGTTGGAAATCTTTCGATATCGAGGAAAATGGGATTTTTCGTTTTGCAAATTCTTTAAATCTCTCGTAAATGAATAAACATTCGCAATCTGATAACAAGAGTTCAAAAATAAAGTACATACATAGTTCCTACACACATCTGTCTTTGACGTTATCAACAATGTTCTTCGTATCACCTGTGGCCAAAGACTCGTAAACTATCGGCTACAATTTCTGCCGGAACGAAGGAGTTCGGGGCGTCGATCACCCACGACAATATCGAGATTGGTTCGTGTTTTGCGGACAGATGTTTCGCCGCGTGTTTCAACGGAACTCTCCTCGTCGCCCGTGTCCTATTTACCGACTATTGTCGCTCTTCCAGCAGCGCGCAAACTTTCTAAATGGTGTCGCGTAATAACCGTGCCATATGACGAAACCGTGCCGCAACAGCTGATGCATCTCGATTTGCAAGATCGATCCTAGGATACGTATCTATCGTGAACTCGTCTATTTACATTGCAATAATCTGAAACCATGTTTGCAAAGTAGGAGCAATTGAGCCGTTGGATTGAATAAGTTGTTGCGTCGTTAAACAGAACGGAGTTTATTCGCTGAACACAAACCGTTAAATATCTCGAAAAATAAACGAAAAATACATGATTTAAACCGCTTTCATAATCAATGGCATATACAGGATAGTTGGTAACTGGTGGTACAAGCGGAAAGGGGGTGATTCTACGCGAAAAAAGAAGTCGAAAATATAGAATAAAAAATTTTTTAAAAATTTTTTTTTAATTTTTTCATCGGGACAACGATCTACAGTGAGATCCGTTATAACGAGACGTGACAAAGTGCACGTGTACCGAGCGAAAATTCAAAGTCGATTTTCTCGAAAACAAAGCCTCAAACGAAAAATTTTTATTCTATATCTTCGACTTCTTTTTTCGCGTAGAATCACCCCCTTTCCGCTTGTACCACCAGTTACCAACCACCCTGTACATGTATTTTTTCTTTTTTCAGAAACTAGAAAAAATTGATTATGCAATAGAATTAAGTAGTATTAGTAACATATTGCGAAAAGCGTTGTAAAATACTAATTCAAGACATTTTTTATTTAGATCTTCTGGTTAAAGAACAGAAACTACTTTTGGTAGATATCGTTCAATATAGTAGAAACAATTGGAGCTATTCCATCGCTGCTCGTAAAGCATTCTAAAGCAATCAACACAAGTGCTTCTATTCTTACACGACCCTATCAATCCCTTTGCATTGGTAAATAGAACAGTCAAGCCCTTGCTCACCCTCT